ATTAATCAAAAATATGATAATAACTCCCTTTGAGGTCAATGGGTCGTGCATAGCCTTTGGGTAATGATTCATGAAAGAAATTGAGGCCCATTAGCATTTTTGAACCCTTTTATGCAAAGTTGACTTTTCAAAATTCCCAAAAATTTCCCAACTTCTACAAGGCATATCTTGCTCAATTTTTAAGTTATGATCATGTTCTTGGACATTTTGGAAAGGTCTTGAAGTCCTATAACCAATGTCTTTGGTCCCATGTCATTTTGATTTACCAATCTCAAGTTATGGTCTTTGACTTAAAGTGCCTTTTTGTTGATTTTTGAAAATGACCTATAATGTTGAAATTGATAACTTTTTGTGAGAGCATTTCTTGGACTTGAAGTGTGAAGATGAGTTGTAGGAAATGTCTTCCTCTTCAAAATGAGCTTTGGATGGGATTTTTCTGATAAACCGTGAAAAAGTTAAGCCCTGGTCAATTTGCAGTTGACTTTTTCACCTATCCAAAAATAGAAACTTTTGCATCTTGAGACTTTTTGAGCCATGCTTTGAGAATCATGATCAAGAATTGATCAAATGATGTTTGTGGCTTCAAAATAAGATGTTGACCAAAACTTTTGACTTTTGACTTTCAAATGACCATTTTGCCCCTACAGTTGACTGTGAAGCATTTAGGGTTTTTGACTGTGCAATTTGATGCTGTGAGTCTTGAAACTTGACATATGGATGCTTGACAATGTATGTAGGCATGTGAGACTTGATTGAACCATTGGAAACTTCAATTTCTTTGCCAGAACCAAAACCCTAATTTTGACTGTGTTAGGAGGCAATTGGACTGTGCAACCATTGGGAGATTTTGAACCTTGATCTTGGCAAATCTTGAAGAATATGGGAGGGAAAATTTTGGGGTACAACAACGCGTCTGTATGCTATCACAGGTATACTTATCCTGGAACTCCCTCGTTCAACGCTCCCAGAGCTCCATTCAATCCTTATGACGTGGCACCTCGTGCTCTTCCTCGTGCTACAACACCACCATGACAACCTGTTCCTCAAGCTTTTCTTGCAGGTTCTGATCCTAATTTCAGTAATCAGTGGTGGTACCCTGACTCTGGCGCATCTCATCATGTGACACTTGATGCTTCGAATCTTTCTGATGCATCATCTCTGAATGGTACTGAACAAGTGTACATGGGTAATGCCCAAGGTTTATTAATTAACTCTGTAGGTTCTATGCCTTTTCCCTCACCAACACAGCCAAATTCCACTCTTATTCTAAATAAACTTCTTCTTGTACATCATATCACTAAGAATCTCCTAAGTGTCAGTAAGTTTGCTCAAGATAATCGTGTTTTCTTTGAATTCCATCCTCAGTTTTGTCTTGTTAAATTGCAGGATTCTTTTGAGATTCTTCTTCATGGCATTGTGGGAGCTGATGGCCTCTACAGATTTGCTAATCCTACTCTTTCCAAGCTGCAACCTAATAGGAATAACAATTGTAATAAGCCTGGTTCTTTCTGTCTAAGTACAGTTCCTATAGCAAAATCTATTGAACATTGTAATGTTCATCCTTGTAATACTTCTTATAATATGAATAAAAGTGTTTTAGATGTTACTAAGCCAAATTATGTTTCTATTCTTAATCCTACATTAAATATATCTACATCAGATTCCAAATATCATTTATGGCATTCAAGACTCGGCCATCCCCATCACCATTCCCTCTCTGAAGTACTCAAAATATGTAACATCCCCATCCCTCCCAAACCACCAAATGCCCTATGTGCTTCCTGCTGTCAAGGCAAATCACACAGACTCCCTTCTTCCCTATCCACTACCATTTATCATCATCATTTTGAGTTAGTTATCTGTGACCTATGGGGCCCCGCTCCTATGTCATCTTTAGGAGGTTATTCCTACTTTCTAACCTGTGTAAATGCTTACTCTAGGTTTGTTTGGGTCTTCCCTCTCAAACTAAAATCTCACACTCTATCTCAATTCATTCGGTTTAAATCTATGGTTGAACTTTATTTCAATTGCAAAATCAAAACTGTCCAAAGTGATGGAGGGGGTGAGTTCAAACCTTTCACCAAATACCTCACCAACTTAGGTGTCGTGCATAGATTTACATGTCTTTACACCCACCATCAAAATGGTATAGTGGAAAGGAAACATCGTCATATAGTTGAAACATGCCTAGCCCTTCTAGTCCACTCCAAACTCCCAATGAGTTATTGGGATCATGCCTTTGTCACTGCAGCTTTTCTTATCAATAGACTACCTAGTATATTCCTTAATAATCTCTCTCCTTACACTCTTTTAATGCACAAATCCCCTTATTACTCTTATTTACGTGTATTTGGTTGTGCATGTTTTCCTTTTCTTAGACCTTATCACTCACACAAACTGGATTTTCGCTCTCAAGAGTGTGTGTTCCTAGGCTATTCTTCCTGTCACAAAGGTTATAAATGTCTGGCTTCCAATGGCACTATCTACATCTCTAAGGATGTTCTTTTCCATTAGTCTAGATTTCCTTTTCCTGAGCTATTTTCCTCATCTCAGTCATCTACCTCTGCCCCCTCATTACACTCATGGTATACCTCTGCAATTCCACCTGTTTTACCTCCCATTCATGCTACACCTCTGCATCAGTTTCCTCCTGCCTCACCCACTGTGAATCAGGCTATTCCCACTCCTACTTCTTCCCTTGTCACCCAACTGTCTCCTGTGCAGCTTGCAACTTCTACTGTGCAGCCTACAACTTCTCCTGTACAATCTAGTTCTGCATCAGGATCACCTACTTCTGAAGCTATTTCCCTTTCATCCTCTTCAAATAACCTGGCTGACATAGTTGAAACCAGCACTATTTCTCCTTCCTCTCAGCCAACATCTAACTCACCATTCAGTATCACCTCTCTTCCCACTCATATGCCTCCCCTACTCATCCTCTAAATGTTCACCCTATGCAAACCCGTGCCAAATCTGGCATAGTCCAACCTAGACTTCAACCCACCCTTCTCTTAACCCACATGGAACCTACAACAGTTAAACAAGCCTTGGCTTCCCCTCACTGGCTTCAGGCCATGAAGGATAAATATCAGGCTCTCTTTAAAAATCAGACGTGAAACCTGGTGACTGCCCCTATTTCTGCCAAGCCAATTGGCTGCAAATGGGTGTTTCGTGTCAAGGAAAATCCTGATGGCTCTGTTAACCGTTACAAGGCGCGCTTAGTAGCTAAAGGATTTCATCAAAGAGATGGCAGTGACTTTACTGAGACGTTTTCCCCAGTTGTCAAACCAGTTACTGTTAGAACTGTGCTAACTCTGGCTGTTTCAGACAGGTGGTCCATTCAGCAGATTGACATCAACAATGCCTTTCTAAATGGCATTCTTGAAGAAGAAGTCTACATGGCACAACCCCTGGGTTTTGAAGCTGATGATATTTCCTTTGTATGCAAGCTTAATAAAGCTTTATATGGGCTAAAGCAGGCTCCCAGAGCTTGGTTTGACAGACTAAAAGGTTCCCTACTTCAGTTTGGTTTGAAGGCAAGCAAGTGTGATCCTAGTCTTTTCTTTCTTCACAATGGCAGTTTGACAATTTTGGTTTTGGTGTATGTGGATGACATCATAATCACAGGAAATTCTCCCTCTTATATTGCTAATCTTATCAAATCTCTCAACACTACCTTTGCTCTCAAGGATTTGGGACAATTGGACTATTTTTTGGGGATTGAAGTAGCTCATCTTTCCAATGGAGCTTTACTTCTATCCAAGTCCAAATACATCACTGACTTGCTGACTAGAGTGAACATGTCCACTGCTAATCCTATTCCCACCCCTATGGTCTCAAGCAACAAACATACCAAGTGTGGCTCAGATTTTGTGGCCGATCCCACCCTATTCAGATCTGTAGTTGGAGCACTCCAGTATGCAATTTTAACCAGACCGGAACTTTCCTTTTCTGTGAATAAAGTGTGCCCACTCCTTTCCAATCCCTTGGAGGAACATTGGAAAGCTGTCAAGAGAATACTTAGGTATCTCAATGGGACAATACATCATGGTTTACTCATCCAGTCTGCTTCTAAGCAGCAAACTCTGCCTATTTTAGGATTTTGTGATGCTGACTGGGCAGCAGACCCTGATGATAGAAGATCTACCTCGGGTGCATGTGTGTTTTTAGGGCCTAATCTCATCTCCTGGTGGTCCAAAAAGTAGCAACTTGTGGCTAGGTCTAGTGCAGAAGCTAAGTATAGGAGTATGGCTCAATTGGCTGCTGAATTGATATGGATTCAGTCTCTCCTCACTGAGCTTCACTGTAAATTTCAAGTTCCTAAAATTCTGTGACAACTTAAGTACAGTCACTTTGGCTCACAATCCTATTCTTCACAATAGGACTAAACACATGGAGCTTGATATTTTCTTTGTTACGGAAAAAGTGTTGAACTAAAGCTTGACAATTGCTCATGTTCCAGCTCAAGATCAATGGGCAGATGCCCTCACTAAGCCACTTTCTGCCATTAAGTTTCTTCCTCTAAGAGAGAAACTGAGAGTTTACAACAAAAGGGAGCTTCTGAAGACACCCTTGGATTCTAAGGGGGAATATTAGAGATAACTATAGGTTACTCTTGTTTTTCTGTATTAGTTAGATTGTTCAGCCAGTTCAGCTTTATTGAGTTGACAAGTCTGTTAGATCTAACTTGCTGAGCTGTCATAGATCTCAGCCTATATATATAGTTCTGTTGCAACTGTTTTCAGATCAAGCAATAGAAACTCAATTCTGTTGCAATTTCTCAGCTTTCTATTATCTTAACAGTTTCCACTGTCATCCAATTTCGTCAGTCAGCCTGTTGTATTATACAGCATAAGTCTTTCATTATTAAGATATGATATATTTCACATCTATACTATGACACTGGCCTTATAGGTTAGTCCAGTGAGTTGGTTCTTTTTGCGAGATTTGGGTTCTTGCCGGTTCTCATCAAATTCACAGCGGTCACCAGTTTTAGAACAATGAAGTTAAAAAACAGGATGGGGGAAGATGAGTGTTCTGGTGAGATACCAAGTTGGAGAGAAAAAAATGTAACTAGAGGACAAAGACAGAAACAGTGAAACCTTGGAAAGATACTCGAAGAATTTAATATAGCTAGCAAGTAGTATTAGTTACAGTTTAACTTTGAAGACTTAGAAAAAGTGGACTTATGGTTGTTATGGTAAAAAAAAATTTATTCTGCTGTTTTAGAGTGGAAATCGAAATCAGAGAATTGTGAAAAGGAAATCCGGGAATCTGAGAAGAAGATTTCTGCAGCCAAAACAAACATATCCAAACTGAATCATCTGATAAACTCAAAGGTTCGATAAGCAAAATTTATTTGCCCGTGTACTTTCATGCATATAATGCGTAGATAGCCCACATCTTTAGTGTCGTTACAGGAAACACAGATTGAGCAGATATTGGGGCAAAAGAAGGAGATATCAGAGAAGTGTGAACTAGAGCAGATTAGCCTTCCAACCATATCAGATCCTATGGATACTGATATCTCAACTCCGGCTCCAGTTTATGACTTTGATAAACTCAGTAGGACACTAAAAGATAGGAAACACTCTGGCAGGGATAAAATAGAGGTAGATTTAAGCAAAAAATGGATGCATTGATATTTGAGATAGAAAGAACAGCACCCAATTTGAAGGCATTGTTTACTTCCCTGCCTGTCAAAAAAATCTAAGGCCTTGCCTGTCATCTCTGTAGAAATTTCTTTTAGAAATTCCTTTTTTTCTTTTGGTTTTTCACCACCGGTGTAGTCCCGGGGTCAGTTCTGGCAGTTCTCCAGCGCCAATCACCACTAAACCAATTAACGATTGATAATCTTTTAGAAGTTCTAATAGAGTGTTAGTCTATTTTGTAATAAGACATTTATATTTCTCATAAATATATTCCTGAATAAGCCTATCTGGTTAAGTATTTACGTAGACTAACATAATTAAATTATTGAAAAGGTCCACAATCATTATAATTAAATTATCATAATTATTATTATTATAGGCAAATAATTACAGGCCCATGTCGTCGAACTGAACTATTCCCACTCCCCAAGGAACAAAGGAACAAAATGAAAACAATGTGTACTTTCTATAAGAAACTATTTTAGTTTGCTGTTGTTTATCATCTGTCTTTTTGGCTGAGACCAATGTTTACTCATATGTGAAATGCATATATGATATGTTCATGGGTGCTTTCAACCATATAGCTGGTAATATAGATAAAATTTACAAACAACTTACAAAGAGCGACACACATCCTCTGGGTGGAACAGCCTACCTAAATTTGGAAAATGATGATGCTGTTTCTACATGGCATGAAGTACACTGCTATGCCACCAACAAAGCGGTTACCCTACATGGAACAACTGTCTGGTGGTGAAAAGACTGTTGCTGCGCTTGCATTGCTATTCTCCATCCATAGGTAGAGTTAGTTGTTTGTACTTGCAAACTTATTTTATTTTTCTATATGAGCATAGTTGGTTTGAGAAAATAGTTTTCTTTCCTTTTTATCACAAATCTATCCACATTGTTTTTACTTTTCCTTTTAAGTTTTAGGAAGAGTTCATCCAACACATCTTGCCTGCATCAGTTTCATAGAGATGTGGTGCGCATATTCATTGACATGGTTCCCACTTTATTTTTTCAGTTATAGGCCTTCACCATTTTTCATACTGGATAAAGTTGGTGCTTCATTGGACAACTTGAATGTTGCGAAGGTTGCGCTGGATTTATTCGTTCAAAATCTTGTGATGGAGCGAGAGTTAATCAGGATGCTGATGGCGGAAATGGTTTTCAGAGTATTGTAATATCTCTGAAAGACAGGTTCAGCTAGTTGGGGTTTACAGAGACTCTGGAACAAGGTAAAATTCTTTTCTTCACATCATTAAATTATTAATATTTTTCTCCCCCTCTTTCTATTCAATATGTTGATGGCATAAATCTAATCTATTTTCCTAGTTTAAATGATGTACATTGTAGTTGTTCAAGTACTCACACATTGGATCTGAGCAAGTATCAGGAGTCTTAAATTTCATCCATTGGATACATTATATAAGTTGCTTGCGCTGTACAAAGTTCGCGGTGCATTTTTATTTGTTGTTTAGTGTGTAAATTACCAGCTGGTTCCTTTTTAAAATGTTATTGTAAATAGGAGTTCCTCACAGTAGATGATTTTTATGCATTTTCTTTCACCAGAAATGTTATGCAGCTATACTAGATACCTCATTTTTCGCTGGTAAATGTAGTGAATTGATTGAACCTTTTTATCTACCACGCCTTTGTACTTTTAAATATTAGTGCATTTCCGGTTGGCACGATATTCTTTACAAAAACAAACCAATATAATTTCACCCTTCAAAAGGCAAAAATGAAATTGAAAATGCACTTCCAGTACAAAATTGGAAATGTAGTTCTGGTTCTTAATAAACAATACACAGGGTGACTCATGTTTTAGTGATAATAAACAGTAGTTTGGGTGAACATGCATTATTTATTAGGAATCGAAAATATATTTCTGATTTTGTATCGGAAATGCATTTTCAGTTTTACGTATGTGCAATATTTAGTTAATTAAATTTTGGTGCGTACCGAAAGTATACTTCCCAATACCTTTCGATTTTGAGAGACATTTAAAAAATTTCATGTGGTGCGTAAGAAAGTCATTGACCGAGTTAAGAAATCCGAATAGAATAACTTATGTGATAAGAAATTATATTGATAGACACTTGTACTATAATAAGCTTACAAATAAACAAATAAATTGTTATTCAAATCAACAATAACAACTCATGATTTTCTTAAGTGAGTCACCTGGAGAAATTAGAGAAGGCAAGTGTTTATTTAAAAATTAGAGAAGCTCATGACTTTTTTATTTCAACTTTTATAAGGTTCAGTAGCTCATTTTCTACTTCTTCATAGCTATGTTTTTTTCCTCATTTGCAGTAATAATATTTTAACTGATATATAAAATTTCTTTCCTCATTTCTAAACCACAAAATTCACCAACCCATGTTTTCTCATTTCTACTGGTATATAATGTTTTGTAGTGCACAGTGGAAGAAAAAAAAAAGAGAGTGAAGAAGACTTTGTATATTATCAAAGTTGACTTGACTATCATATAGTATGAGGCATAGCCAGTAGCCACCGCAAACAACCACAAACTTAGATCCCAACAGCATTTCTGCTCTATCCTCAGTACCATGGCAGAATCATTTCTTTTCGATATTGCTAATTCACTCCTAGGGAAGCTTGCTTCTTATGTCTATGATGAAGCTTCTCAAGCCTTTGGAGTGTATAAAGATCTACAAAGGATCAAAGACACTTTGTCAATTGTTAAAGGTCTGCTACTGGATGCTGAGTATAAGAAGGATAAACAACATGGTGTGAGTGAATGGCTGAGACAGATTCAAAACATCTGCTTAGATGCTGAAGATGTATTAGATGGATTTGAGTTCCAACACAAGAGGAAACAAGTTGTGGAAGCTTCAGGAAGCACGCGGGTGAAGGTACTGTTGAATAAACATTAAATGTGTTAGTAATAAAGTTTTACATTAAACATGGTAGTAGGAAGGACAAAAGTTTTAGTAAGTTATTAGTAGCAGTTATGTTTTAGTTTATGTTTTAGAATTGTAAAAGTTATTTGGGTCTATAAAAAGACCAAGAGTGTATTTTATTTTATAAGAGTAATATACAAGTTTTGATCTGAAGTCTGATTCGATTTTAACAATTTGGCATCAGAGCTCATGGCAAACATGATGAATCAAATGCCGTTGCCACGGCTAACGAAGTCTAATTATGAAAACTGGAGTATCCAAATGAAAGCTCTTCTTGGATCTCTAGACGCGTGGGAAGTGACCAATGATGGGTTTGAAGAACCAACAAAAGTTGGGGATATACGGCAGCTCAAACGAAGACGTTGAAAGAGACGCGATCGAAGGACAAAACGGCATTATACATGTTGTTCAGGGCTGTAGATGAATCAGGCTTCGAGAAAATTGCTGGTTCGACTACGTCGAAACAAGCGTGGGACACGTTAGAAAAAGTGTTCAAAGGAGCAGATCGAGTGAAGCAAGTTCGACTCCAAACTCTTCGTGGCGAATTGGAGAGGATACAGATGAAGGATACATAAATTGTATCTGACTACATCACACGTGTGCAAAAGGTGGTGAATCAACTCACCAAAAATGGAGAGACAGTACCTGATGCACGAGTTGTTGAAAAGATCTTGAGATCTTTAACAGACAAGTTTGAAAATATTGTATGTGCAATAGAAGAGTCGAAAGACCTTTCGACGCTCTCAATCGAAGAGCTCGCTGGTTCTCTCGAAGCACATGAACAACGAAAGATGAAAAAGAAAGAAGAAGCAGACGAAGAAGCAAACCAAACCAAGGAATCGAACAAAGACGAAAAGGTACTCTTTTCTCACAACTTTCGAGGAAGAGGACGTGGACGTGGAGGTCGTGACAGTGGTCGAAGTGGTAGAGGTAGCAACTTCGAAAGAGGACAATCGAGCTAACAAAATTAGCGTGGCAGACGACGTGGTCAAAGAGGTGGTCGTTCGAATTATTCCAACTTCGAATGCTACAAGTGTGGGAAGTATGGTCATTATGCGAAGGATTGTAACTCCTACAAATGTTACAATTGTGACAAAGTGGGACATCTTGCAAAAGACTGTCGAATCGAAAAGAAGATTGAAGAAACAACCAACCTAGCCTTGGAAGCTGAATCGAATGAAGGCTTTCTCCTGATGGCTCAAAACGAAATCAACACCAATGACAGTGTTTGGTATCTTGACTCAGGAGCAAGTAATCACATGTGTGGTTACAAACACCTGTTTAAAGATATGAAGAGAATTGAAGATGGTAATGTGTTTTTTGGAGATGCATCGAAAGTGAAGGTCGAAGGAAAGGGCACAATCAGTTACTTGCAGAAGGATGTCTTGATTGGATCAATCGAAGACGTTTACTATGTACCAGATCTCAAGACCAACATATTAAGTGTGGGACAACTTACAGAAAAAGGTGCTTCGATACTGATGAAAGATCGAACACTGCATTTGAAGGACAAAGCAGGATATCTGATTGCCGCTGTCGAAATGGAAAAAAATCGAATGTACAAACTGAACCTGAGGAACATTCGAGAGAAATGTCTACAAATCGAAGTGCAAGACAAAGCGTCACTATGGCATATGCGCTTTGGTCATCTACATCATGCTGGTTTTAGAAGGTTGGCGAAAAGGAACATGGTGCATGGACTACCATACATGGATTTCGAAGGAAAATTATGTGAAGAATGTGCGCTCAACAAACAAACAAGAACCTCATTTCAAAGGAAGGCAGAGTATCAAGCTAAACATATTCTCGAATTGATACATACTGACATATGTGGGCCAATCACTCCAAAATCCTTCAGTGGAAAAAGGTACTTCATTTCTTTTATTGATGACTTCTCAAGAAAAACCTGGGTCTACTTCCTGAAAGAAAAGTTTGAAGCATTAGAAGTGTTCAAAAAGTTCAAAGTAATGGTAGAGAAGGCAACAGACAGACACATCAAAGCAATTCGATCTAACAGAGGAGGTGAGTATACTTCAATGGCCTTTGTGAAGTACTGTGAAGAACAGGGCATAAGGAGATTCCTAACTGCACCATATTCACCTCGGCAAAATGGTGTGGCTGAAAGTAAGAATCGAACTATTTTTGACATGGTTCGATCAATGCTCAAAAGCAAGAACATGTCGAAAGAATTCTGGGCAGAAGCAGTACAATGTGCTGTTTATATTCAGAATAGATGTCCACATTCGAAGTTAGAAGACAAAACACCACAAGAAGCATGGAGTGGACAGAAGCCAACAATTTCTCATCTCAAGGTATTTGGTAGTATAGCTTATGCACATGTACCAGATCAACGAAGAACAAAGCTTGAAGACAAAAGTCAGAAGTACATATTCATTGGATATGATGAGAAGACGAAAGGGTACAAGCTCTTCAATCCCATAAGCAAGAAAGTGATCGTGAGCAGAGACGTTCGAATGAACGAAGCAAGCAAGTGGGACTGGAACATTTCGACAGAGGTTGTTGACACAGTCGAAGAAACAACTGTAGCTGTACCAACAAGTATTCCAACAGAACATGAAGAAACAGAAGATGGAGATGAACCTCTACAACCCAAAATGAGAAGTTTGCAAGATTTGTATGATTCAACAAGTGAGGTGCATCTTGTGTGTCTTCTGGCAGATGCTGAAAACATCAGCGTCGAAGAAGCGTTACGAGACAAGAAGTGGAAAAGTGCCATGGACGAAGATATTAGAGCAATCGAACGCAACAATACTTGGGAGCTAGTCGAATTACCAAAAGGAAGTCAACCCATTGGTGTAAAGTGTGTATTCAAGAAAAAGATGAATGCTCAAGGAGAAATCGAAAGATTCAAAGCACGACTGGTTGCAAAGGGATACAAACAGAAAGCAGGAATTGACTATGACGAAGTGTTTGCGCCTGTTGCAAGAATGGAGACAATTCGATTACTCATTTCTCAAGCTGCTCAGTTCAAATGGCCAATATTTCAAATGGATGTCAAGACAGCATTTTTGAATGGTGTGCTCGAAGAAGAAATCTATGTCGAACAACCACTTGGATATATGAGAACTGGAGAAGAGAAGAAGGTGTTGAAACTGAAGAAATCACTGTATGGGCTGAAGCAAGCACCTAGGGCATAGAACACACGTATTGACACATATTTCAAAGAGAATGGGTTCGAGCAATATCCTTATGAACCCGCCCTCTATGTGAAGAAAAATGGAAGTGATTTATTACTTGTTGCTCTCTATGTTGATGACCTTATCTTTCTAGGCAGTGATGTTCAGATGATCGAAGATTTCAAGAGCACCATGACAAGCGAATTCGAAATGACAGACTTAGGTCTGATGAGATTCTTTCTTGGTCTGGAGGTTCGACAAGAAGAAGCTAGAATTTTCATCTCACAAGAAAAAATATGCAAAGGAAATCTTAGAAAAATATAAAATGAAGAATTGCAATCCAACTTCGACGCCAATGGAACCAGGTACAAAACTATCAAAGTTTGATGGAGGAGAACGGGTCGAAGGAAGCAAATATCGAAGCTTGGTAGGTAGCCTTCGATATCTCACATGCACAAGGCCAAACATTTCACTAAGTGTTGGCATAGTAAGTCGATTCATGGAGGAACCAGTACACACACATTGGAAGGCGCTGAAACGAATTCTAAGATACATCCAAGGAACAGTATCACTAGGAATGTTTTATTCAAAAACAGAAGACTACAAGTTAGTTGGTTATTCTGACAGTGACTGGTGTGGAGACATAGACGATCGAAAGAGCACCTCTGGATATGTGTTTTTCATGGGAAACACAACATTTACTTGGCTGTCGAAGAAGCAACCTATAGTAACACTTTCGACGTGTGAAGCTGAATATGTGACAGCATCCTGGTGCGTCTGTCATGCAGTATGGCTCAGAAGGTTGATAAGCAAGATGGAGCTGAAACAGGAAGATCCAACAATAATACAAGTGGACAGTAAATCAGCTATCGAATTGGCAAAGAATCCAGTGAATCATGAACGAAGCAAACATATTGATGTTCGATTTCACTTCATTCGTGAACATGTGAAGGAGGGAAGTGTCGAATTAAGGCATGTAGCAAGCAGAAACCAAGCAGCGGATATTTTTACAAAACCACTATCAAAAGAGGTCTTCGACAGAGACAAGAAGATGATAGGAATGCTGGATGGAAGAAACATTTAAGTTTACAGAGGAGTTTTGTTGAATAAACATTAAATGTGTTAGTAATAAAGTTTTACATTAAACATGGTAGTAGGAAGGACAAAAGTTTTAGTAAGTTATTAGTAGCAGTTATGTTTTAGTTTATGTTTTAGAATTGTAAAAGCTATTTGGGTCTATAAAAAGACCAAGAGTGTATTTTATTTTATAAGAGCAATATAGAAGTATTTCATATAGAAGTCTGATTCGATTTTAACAGGTACGCCACTTCTTTTCTTCCTCAAATCCACTTGCTTTCCGTTTTAGCATGGCACATCAAATCAAAAAGATTAGGGATAGATTGGATAAGGTAGCAGCTGATGGGACCAAGTTTCGTCTTGCGAAAATTGATGATGCTCCTGAACTTCTAAGGAGAGAATTGACTCATTCCTATGTTGATGCTTCAAGTGTAATTGGGAGGGAGAATGATAGGGAAGAAATTATCAAGCGTCTGATGCAACCACATCCTCAGAGTGATTGTGGTGATGGTGGTAAAAGTTTGTGTGTTATTCCAATTGTGGGAATGGGAGGCTTGGGGAAGACTTCACTTGCTAAGTTGGTGTTCAACGATAGAAGGATGAACCAACTTTTCCAAATGAAGATTTGGGTGTGTGTCTCTGAGGATTTTGACATCAAGCAGATACTTATTCAAATCATCAACTCAGCTTTGGTTTCTACTGTTCCATCTGCTTCAGCTCTAACTAACGTGCTTTCTCACCAAGAAAACATTACAAACTTGAATATTGAGCAGCTACAAAGCCGTCTTAGAAATAAACTTCATGGTCAAAAGTTTTTACTCGTGTTAGATGACGTTTGGAATGATGACCGTGCAAAATGGATTGAGTTGGAAGATTTGATAAAGTCCGGCTCAGCAGAAAGCAAAATCATTGTGACAACGCGTAGTAGCTCTGTTGGTTCAATGATGGGTACTGTTCGCTTGTATGTCTTGGAAGGTCTTTCTATAGAGAATTGCTTATCCTTGTTTGTCAGATGGGCATTGAAGGAAGGGGACGAAATTAAATATCCAAATCTAGTGGAAATTGGTAAAGAAATTGTGAAAAAATGTCAAGGGGTTCCACTAGCCGTGAAAACATTAGGAAGTTCTTTGTTTTCAAAACTTGATTTAGATAAGTGGATACTTGTAAGAGACTCCGAGATATGGAACTTAAAGCATAGGAAAGATGATATTTTGTCTGCTTTGAAGTTAAGCTATGATCAAATGCCATCCTATTTGAGGCAATGTTTTTCTTATTTTTCCCTTTATCCCAAAGACTTTACCTTCAATAGTTTTGAAATTATTATTCTTTGGGTAGCACTTGGATTAGTTCAATTCCAGACAGGAGGAGAAAAGGTAGAGAATGTAGCAAGAGAATATATTGATGAGTTAAATTCAAGATCATTTCTTCAGGATTTCGAAGACTATGGCTTCTATTGCAAGTTCAAGGTACATGATCTGGTGCATGAACTTGCACTATATGTTGCAAAAGAGGACTTTGCGGTGATAGGCACGCAAACTCAAAGTATATTTGATCATGCAAGACATTTATCAATCGTTGACGATAATTCATGTGGCCGTGTTTTGTTTCCGAAGTCTAGGAGTGTAAGAACTATACTATTTCCCATGGAAGGGGTAGGTCTTGCTGATGAAACTCTATTATATTCACTGGTATCAAGATACAAATACTTAAGGTATTTAGATTTAAGTGATTCTTCATTTGAGTTCCTACCTAATTCAATTGCTAAATTGGAGCACCTTCGAGTTCTTGATCTTTCCGGTAACTGCAAAATAAAATATCTTCCCCATTCTATATGGAAACTCCAAAATTTGCAAGTTTTGGCACTTGGTGGATGTACAGAACTTGAAACACTTCCTAAAAGATTAGGGAAGATGATCAGCCTGCGACAACTGATTATAACAAGTAAACAATCTGACCTTTCAGAGAATGAATTTGCAAGCTTAAACCATCTTCGAATTTTGGGTTTTCATTATTGCCAGAATTTGAAGTATTTGTTCAAATACAACCAACTCCAGTCCCTTGAAACGTTGTTTGTTATATCATGTGGGATCTTGGAGTTACCTCTTTATATGTTCCCAAATTTACAGACTCTGTATATTAGTGACTGTAATAACTTACACTTGTCAGCCTACAGCAGAAAATCCGTCCAAACATTGAAGATGAAATATCTACATCTCGAGGGCTTTCCCGAGCTATCCACATTGCCTGATTGGATTGCAAGTGCCAAAGACACTCTAGAGACCTTGATTATTGTCAATTGTCCCAATCTAAAGAAGTTTCCTAAATGGCTAATAAATATGTCGCATCTTAAGAGGCTCTATATCAGTGAATGTCGTCTTCTTTCGAGGATTGTGCTTCCAGGTCACATGTTTTACCTCACCGCCCTTGAAAATTTGCACATAGATGGTTGTCCTGATTTGTATCGACAATATCAACCACAATGTGGTGTGCATTGGTACGAGATTGCTCACATCAAAAGTGTTTACATCGGAGAACCAAGAGGAGAAGAGGAATGAAGTAATAGGCCTCAGGAAGGCAAGGTATATGATGTGGCTGGATTGGAAAAGGGATATGCAGCTTGAAGGGACACAGGAAAAGAAGATAGCTTAACAAATAGAGTTGTTAATGTTAATTTTTGGTATGTTAAGTTAGTAGTTAGAGTTTAAACTTTGAATCTCTTTCTCAAACTTCTTCAAGTGTCTCACCTCAACCACTTGAGTTGTGTTGTATAAACAATTTTGTCCGAATGTTTGATGTATACTAGAAAACCATATATGTTGTAAGTAATTATTTCATTAAAGGTGAACATATTTTTTCCTTATTCACAGAACCTATAGCTAAACCTGTTTATTATTCTGAATACCGCATCTATGTAAAGTCTTGATAACAAGTATTTGGTAGCTCGATTAACTTCATCATCTTCCCCTTCTTTACTACACTATTGCAAAGAAAACTCGAAATAGAGTTCAAAATGCTGCCAAATATTATACATGGAGGACTATTTTCAAAACTGATTCATATTCATCGATATGGCCATCAAATTGAAGTAGTATGGTTTAGAAAAAAGTCTTTATTGTCACATTAGATCTTCATGATCAAACTATTAAATTTTATTTTGTTACAAAGTTTTGGCTTGCAGAAAAATTCTATTGTGCTTTTATGATTTATTCCTCTGCACGAACTAGATTAAATAGACAGATTACAACTTAAATATAAGAGTGGCAAAATGGATGGATTAAATGGATATGAATTGGATTATTAATGGACGGATCAAAATAATCCATTAGTCTATTAACAATCCACAAAAATTTTCTAAAAATATCAAATCCAATCCATTCACTAAACAAAACAAAAGAATCCACCTAATTCATCCATTAACAACATTTTAATGGATGAATATTCATCCATCCAAAAAGTTAATTCAAATATATTTATTGATATTCTGTATTTCCGATAAATTTCTGTATTTCCGACAAAAACTCAATTTATTGAGTTTTCAAAAAAAAAAAACTCGATTTAATGTGTTTTTGCAAAAAAAAACTCGATTTGCAGTATTTCCATTAAAAATTCGATTTATTGTATTTTTGCAAAATAACTCAATTAATTGTATTTACATTAAAAAAATTGATTTACTGTATTTCCACAAAAACTAGATTTATTGCATTTCCGCAAATAACTCGATTTACTGTATTTCCATAAAAAAAATCCGATTTACTGTATTTCTGCAAAAAAACTCGATTTACTGTATTTTCGTAAAAAAAACTCAATTTACTGTATTTCGGTAAAGTTTGATTTACTGTATTTTTGTAAAAAAACACGATTATCTGTATTTTCATAAAAACTCAATTTACTGTATTTCCGCCAAAAACTTAAGTTACTGTATTTCTGTAAAAAAATTCCATTTTCTGTATTTGCGTATAAAACTCGATTTTCTTTACTTCTGCAAAAAAACTCATTTTCGTAAAAAATCAGATTTACTGTATTTCAGCCAAAAACTCGATTTACTGTATTTTCGAAAAAAACTCAATTTATTGTATTTCCTTAAAACCTCAATTTTCTGTATTTCCACCAAAAAATCAATTTACTATATTTCTGCTAAAAATTCAATTTATTGTATTTTAAAAAAAACTCGATTTTCTGAATGTCTGCCAAAAACTTGATTTACTGTATTTTCGTAAAAAACTTGATTTTTCAGTATTTCCGGCAAAAACTCGATTTACTCTATTTCTGCAAAAAACAAAAACTCAATTTTATATTTCTGCAAAAAACTCAAGTTACTGTATTTTATCAAAAAACTCAATTTACTGTATTTTTGCAAAAAAACTCGATTTTCTGTATTTCCATAAAAAACTCGAATTACTGTATTTTTATAAAAAAAAATTATTATTTAAAAAAAATGATGTAATGAATTTAAAGTATATAATCAAAATAATTCATTAGATCATTTAAATATGTCGGATGGATTTGATCGATCTATGAATGAATTTTATCCAATTCATTGACTTACTTTTTATGTATCAGATAGATATGATGGAATTTTTGGTGGATAGGCTAGATAGATTTTGTTTTAATACTTAAATATTTCTTTAAATCAAGGTAAATAGTGATAATAGGAAAATATTAGAATCTTGGTAGATGTAATAAATAGAAATAAATAGTAAATAGAAAATATTCCAACATTGGTGCATAAAATATATATTATGCCCAAGTTGTCTACTAGATGTTTAAAGATAGGTTTAGACAAACTCTTCTTGCTTAGAATATCTGCAGGTTAATTAGAACAAAACGGAGACTTATGATCTCATCATCTAATTTTCCTTTATGAAATTGTAGGAACCAAAAATGTGTAGTGACGTGATGAAATGAGATCTTAGAGCGGTAGAACAAGCTTTTGGTACAATGGAGAAAGAGACTAGCATGTAAAGTTAACACTTCAACATCTAAATCAATTATCGAGTGATAAGTAGTATGAGAGTGAGAATGAACTGAATATCTAAAATGGTGCGGTTTGGCCCCTAACTATATAATATGGGCTGTTAAAATCGTTCATGATCTGATGTATTGAGCATATAGATGTTCGAATGGATATAAACAACGAAAGGTGTGATATATGGCGTGATCGTGTGTTCTCGGTAAAGGTGAGGTCCACATGTTCGAGGTGCCTTCCCCTTTAACACGTGCTATTGAGCTTTCTTCATAAGACCATGCAGACGACCCAAAATAGTTTCCCCTAAGCCCTTGTTCTCACTTCCTAGAATGAGGGCTTTATCAGGTTCTTCTTCAGTCTTGCCTCCGGTGGAAGGAAGTACAAGAGTTTTGATGGGACGCCGATGTCTCGAGGTGCTTTCCCCTTTAACACGTGCTATTGAGCTTTCTTCACAGGACCATGCAGACGACCCAAAATAGTTTCCTCCAAGCCCTTGTTCTCACTTCCTAGAATGAGGGCTTTATTGGGTTCTTCTTCAGTCTCACTTCTGGTGGAAGGAAGTACAAGAGTTTTGATGGGACGTCGATGTCTTTTGAGAAAAAGGCGCATTAAATGTCTTCGTTGTGGTTAACAATGTTTGGCAGGTATGCTTCAACACGTGTTCCTACATTTGATGGTAATGATTATTTCTAGTGATAACGCCTTTGAGTGTTCTTGAATAGTGTGTGTTGAAATCTCGACCGTTTCTATTGCAGTTTGCACTTCCTAATTTCGAGGATCGAACAACTCACATTCCTTGGAGAATATATAAGTATTTTGAAGTTATGATACTCTCTTATCGATTGAAGTTATGATACTCTCTTATCGACATTTGTGACTCTTTGAAAGCTCTTTTCTCACCTTTTCAAATTTTCCTCAATTTTATCTCATTGTCTCCTAATTTGTGCTTGTGTCATCTTTTATAGTAGAACTGTAACATCTTATACATATACGTCTAGATGGATGTTATAATATGGTACATGAAAACATACAAAAGCAGGAATTGACGTAAAATATCATATACAATTCAACCATACAGCTCATAATGTATACAATGTATATGTCTTCAAGCAATGCATGTAACACCATTCTAAACCCCAAAGAATATTCACAATTATTTTTAATAAATAAATCAGAGTATATCACCAACAAGGGTGTCACATCTTCATATAAAACTTCACAATAATACGTCTTACTCCGTAACACGGATTTTCAAAATTTTAACAAGATATAATCAACTTTTGAATTCTTCAAATCATGGCAGCGAAAATCATAGTTCAAAACACCTCACTATAATACTTCATAAAATTTAGTCATATTTCATAACTCATACTTATAAATCAAAACATCTCGAGTACCACGTAGGGTGACTCAACATCTTAAAACAAAATAAATAACAAAAGTTCCAAATCAAACAATCTCAACCCCAATATTACATATCAGAGTAAGACTCTCTTTATTCAACAAAAACAAATAGACACACTCTGTAGCTATCCTCTAATGTTTTTACAGACTATTCTCGATCACCTGCACATTACCCACTAAAGGCAACATTCAAGCAGAAAGGGTGAGTAAATCTTAATCATTATATAAGACATAAGGAATAGACCTAGTAAATATGCACATAAGCAAGACATCACACATCATCACATCTTCATGTTATACTCACACCTCCACAACTTCATCAATACACATACAAATATCATCATACACAATGTATCATCAAACATCATAAATAAATCAGTATGCAATGTCACATAGAATGTAAATGCACTTCATTCGACTCATGCATGTGATACCAAAACTTCATTGATGACTCAATCATCATTATCTCCAAAGATCCCTACCATAGGATCAATTCCCGCTTAGAACCAGAGCACTTCACTGTTGTACCCAGTCCATACTATGAGATTGTTGCCTTCACTGGAAAATCTTCATATCATCTTCACTGGACCAAAGTCCTAAAATATGCCATGAATGCAATGATGCGTAACAACATATTTAATACGACAGCAGCTAGTCAATACGCATCACCATTCATGATTCATCACAAACATCATCATATCATCCCAGTAATCAACACAACATCATAACATCTTCATAATAATCAAAACAACACCATAACATCATCATCATAAACAAGGCATCATCATAACAAAACATCATCATAAATAAAACATCATCATAAACAAAACATCATTGCGATTCAACACAGGGAACCTAATTCTATTCTAACTTAGGTCTCAGAGATATATTCCTTAATCCTCATCTTTATCCATATAATTAAAGTTCATTGCGTTAGCTATCCAAGACTTCGAACGACACCTCAATCAGAGCTTTAGAACTAAAGTTATGATCATTTTAAGATTTCCAACTTGGACAATCAATTCTGCCTTCCGTCGCCTGGTGAGACACTTCTGTCGCCATACGACACTACCTTTGCGTCACACTTTGCCCGACGACACTAGGGGCGATGCATTACAAAAACTAGCTCCAATCTTCCTCCCTTCACTCCCACCTTCTCCTGGAGATGCTCCATCGCCCGGTGAC